AATTTATGAATACTCTAATTATTAGATATTGAGCTAAAATTATTTAAGACTGAGAGTTACAGATATCCAAGAGTAGGAGGGGATTTGATGCTAAAATTGAAGTTCTGACAGTACTCTTATGTCTTTCACTTTTAAAAAATCGTTTGTTGCCATTACCATTGTGGCAATAAGCTGTCAATCCGTTCCATATAAAGGTGCTGCTCTTTGTGAGATGGAATTCTTCATAAATTAATAGCTGCTGAAGTGGTGGTGCAATGAGTTTATGACTACCTCATAAGCTATACCTTGTACACTGAACCTAATGTACATTAATCATGAAAACATACCTACTGCTTTAATTGAGAATTCAGTAAGTGCTATAAATGATGTACATTAAATATGCATGTGCACTGATTGACTAATGGGTCAGTCAACTAATTTGTTTGATTACCCTGACTGACCAATGAATCAATTTCATTTAATTTCCAGAATTATTGATTGATTGACCGACTAACTCATGCTAACAAGACCTCATGTCAGTAGGATTTGAAAATGAAACTTCAGTAGAAATGTTCTTAAACAAGCTAATTTCTCAGTGACTGTACCTCAACATTGATCATCACAAACTTCTTGCTTAATTCCTCTATTTCCTTTGATTCAGCAAATTTAGGCTTCAATGCTGCAAATACAAGAAAAGGTTTTGTCTTCTTTAATGGGAAAAAAAATCAGTTGTTTGAAGGTACTTGTTACCATAGCATTGGCCATAATGTAATAATAATAACAAAATTAATATTTCATGACAAAGCCTACATCACACAGTGGCTTGTAACAGAAGGGTAGATTAAGATAGATGTATCATAATAATAATAAAAAAATCATTATGAAATTACTTTTGCAACTAATTTGCATCTAGCCAAGAGGAGACAGAGGTTTTATTCAGCTAATTTGATAGATTTAAATAATCTCTTACTTTTTCCAAGTTTCCCACACTTCAGTTGTTCCAACTTATAATTGGTGGTGGGGGGTGTAGGTTGTTGCAGGGGGGAGGGGGAACTCAAGAAAACTTTATATGGGAGGGAGCTACCCCAAGGACTCAGTCCTTGTCTTTTTAGATACCAAAAAGGTGTAGCCCTTTCATTCAATGTTTCATTCAGGGCCGCCATTAATGGTACATGTAGTAACCCATTTCACCTGTTACGGCTGAGTATACTTGTTGCGTTCTTGATGTTAAGGATGAACTTGCCTGTTGTTTAAACAATTCACCCACAAAGTAACAAGTTTTTTATGGGTTTGAAGATGAAAGCAACAGTTAACTTGGAACTTAATGAACCCCTGGTACCTGACACAGAAAATGGTAGTCCCTTTCCTAAAGTTAATATGTACACGCAACAGACAAACTGCAGAATCATTTTTCTAACCCTTTGCCTAGAATCCTTAAAATACTGCCAGGATAAATGCATCTGTCTGAGATATTTTGAAGTGCCTTTTAGACATACAGTACCTAGCTGGGGATGACCATTTTACCTACCCTTGTCCCTCAACTTAAAGAATCCCTACCGTCTCATAAACTTTAAGCCTGAAAAAGGTACCCTATCAAATGGAACCTCCCCATGTATGGCCTATTATTGAGGGAATAACCCTTCCCCTGGAATTTACACTAACTTGAGCTCAGCATGAGAGGCACATAGTCCTTCACAGCCATTATTAGGGTTATGTTGTCATGCAATAATTGTACTTCTACCCATGCCAATAGAAGCATTGCCTGACGACC